CCACTCACGCCCAAAAGGCTGGTGGGATTACTCACTGTTCACTATTCACTACTCCCCACTCCCTAGTCCCTACTCCCTACTCGCCACTCACTACCCACTACTCATACTCACTACTCACTACTACTCACTACCCCATACTCACTACCCACTACGCGCTAACTCACTACTCACTACTCACCACTCCCTACTCCCAACTCCGTACTCCCCACACGAGGGGGAGGGGGTTCCGACCCCCCCCCCTTTCCAGCGCCAAGGGGGGGGGGGGGGGTCTGGACCCCCCCCCCTTTAGTGTATTCAGGGAGATCCACTGGCGCACTTTCTTTCGTTGGTTTTTTTGTGTGTTTCCTTTGGTTTTCTTTGGTTTTCCTTGCCGTTGTGGAAGGAGGAGGAAGAGGAGGAGGAGGAGGAGGGGGGAGAGGAGGAGGAAGAGGAGGCAAGGAAGGAGGCAGGAGGAGGACGGAGGAAAGGAGGGTGGAGGATGGGAGGAGGAGGAGGAGGAGGGGAGGAGGAGGAGGAGGAGGAGGAGGAGAAGGAGGAGGAGAGGAAGGGAGGAGGAGGAGGAGGAGAGGAGGAAGAAGAAGAAGAAGAGGAGGAGGAGGAGAGGGAGGGGAGGAAGGAGGAGGAGGAGAAAGAGAGGAGGGGGAGAGGGGAGGGGGAAAAAAAGGGGGGGGCCCCCCGTGTAGGAGGAGGAGGAAGAGGAGGAGGAGAAGGAGGAGGAGGAGGAGGAGGAGGAGGAGGGGGCAGCTAACGCCAGCTAGCACGCTGCGCCTCGACTTTCGAAAATTGCATTTTCCAGGGGGCCCCCTTTCACCCCCGAACCCCCCAGAACATGCCCAAGATGAGAACAAGAGCGGGAGCAGGAGGCCTCCAGAGACCTCCGAGAGGACTCCGGGACCCCCCAGAGGCCTCCAGCACACCCCAGACCGCTGAGAGGCCCCCAGAAAAGCCCCGACGAGGCGCCAGAAACAGCCCAAGAGAACTTCGAGAGCCGTCCCGAGAGAGCCCGAAAAGGGTAAAATCGTTAATTTCCTATGGCTTTTAATACGTTTTTCGCCTTCTCACGTTTTCCCGCTTCCAACGCTCAAAGGCCGAGGAACTTGAAAACAAAAAAGGGAGTTCCAGAGATTCCCTCCCACCCCGAGGGTCCCACCCCCCCCCCGAGGGTCCCGCGCCTTCCTGGAACATCCGCGGAACGCTCCCGGTACCGCGCGTTCCAGCCCCGGGGGACCCCCGAAACGCTGAAGGACAGCCCAAGACGACCCCAAGAAGCTTCCAGAACGTGCAAGCACGGCCCAAGACGCTCTCAAGCAGCTCAAGATAGCCTTCGGTCGGCTCTCCAGGCTCCCAGAACGCTTCCAAGAGACCTCAAAGACCGAGGAATTTGAACAAGGAATTCCAGATTTTCCTTTTTTTTCAAGTTGGGACTCCTACTCCCTATCCTCTTCCTCGAGCCCCATCAAGACTTCGGGGTCACATGCAACGATCTTTCGGGAATGCTGTTGAACTCTGTTACAAACGCTGTCTTGGCACTCTCTTGGATCGCCTTCGTGTCCTCTTGGCTGCCCCTGAAACCACTGTAGGAATCGAAATCCCATGATCTCATGAGTCGAAACAATCAGATTTTTTATTTTTTTTTGGTGCAAACTCACCTCATGCTTATTCTTGCACGACGACCACGAGAGGCATCCCAACAGACCGTGGCCTGCATCCAGAACACTTCTATCCCACAGCCCAGGCACGGCAACTTGAAAAAATGGGAATCCCACAATTCCTTCTTTTTTAAGTTCGCCCCCCCTGACTACTCTTGCACAACAGACCACAATGTAGGCCCCCTTCAGCTCCCAGAAAAGATCCCAAGAAGTCTTCGAGTGCCCCAAGTCGTTGAATACCTAAGGGGAATTAATGATCTCTGCGTTGCCGCAGTTCCCCTTCTATACGATTCCGAGGCTTGCGCAGGGCCTCCAAGATAGTTCTTGGATGCAAGAATCGACCCACATTATATTCCATGAGTTAGCGCATCAAGCCTAGCTAGATCTTGAGCGCGCGCGAAGCGCGCGATGATTTTAGTATATGTTTATGTTCATGTTTATGTTATATATATATGTATGTATGTATGTATGTATGTATGTATGTATGCATGTATGCATGCATGCATGCATGCATGCATGCATGCATGCATGCATGTATGTATGTATGTATGTAGGTATGTATGTATATATATACATATATATATATATATATATATATTTATATATATAAATGTGTATATATTGGCACCTGCAAGACAGGCCAAAGGCCGATTAGGAGGTTGGGGATCGGGACAGCCGTCTCCATCCATCGAAACATGCGTATCGTTTGATGTACTCGTCGGTATCCTTATTCATCGATGTATCACTATCGATCTAGTGCCCTTCGGTCCATCCCGACACCGTGCCCATGTTATAAATCAGAGACCTCCCGGATGCTTGTGGGGAATCTCTTGGGAGGCCTTTCGGACGCCTCTTGGAGGCGATTTTGGGGGTGTCTTGGAGCCTCTCGGGGCCTCTTTGGGGTTTCCCGGGGCCTGATTTGGGTCTCTTTGGGACCTCCTGGGTCTTCTGGGGGGCCTCTTGGGGTCCTGCTGGCGATCTCTGGGTCACCTTGGGGCGGAGGGCGCGAAGTGTCAGTTCGAGTTCCCCCCTTTAGGGCTCTCTTGGGGCCCTCTTGAGCGACCTTGGGCGCCTCTTGGGCCGTCTCTAGGCTCTCTTGGGCTGTCTTGGAGCGATCTTGGGGGCCTCCTGGGCCGTCTTGGACGCTCTGAGAGCCCAAGAGGCGAATTCGCTGAACATGTACGTTTGCCTGAAGGGATGGCACTACTTTTGCCTCTCCGGGGCCCTCTCGGGGGTACTCTTGGGGCTCTCTTAGAGCATCTTGTGGGCCACTCGAGCAGTGTTGGGGCCACATTTGGCAGTCATTCAGCTGTATTGTACCGCTCTGGGGCCCTTTCTGGCCATCCAAGGCGGTTCTTGAGATACTCTCGAGAGTTTCTGGGAGCTCCGAAGAGGTTCCAGGAGCTCCGGGGAGCTTCCGGGAGCTCCCAGGAGCACCCAGAACCATTCAGGAGCTCCCAGGAGCGGGTGGAAGACCGGGGATCCGGGTTTTCAACTTTGCGACCCCTCTACCCCTCAGGGCTGCATGAGCCGTGGGGCACTCCACTACGTGCTGAAGGCACGGTTGCGGTTCTATCGATCCCATTATTTATTTATCTACCGATCTTTCTATTTTGTCCATGTATCGATATCAACAATCATTTGTTGATCTTATTATTTCTGATCTCACTATCAAGCTATCGACCTCACTATCATCAATTCGTGGGTCGATCCGTCTTTCGGCAGCACTATCTATATATCGATCCCACTATCGATCAATCTACCATCCGGACATCCATTGGGACAATCATCGGGTTTCCCATCGGGCCAACCATCGGGCCAAGCATCGGGGAAGCCATCGGGACAATTATCAGGACAACCGTCGGGACAACCATCGGGACTTCTCTATCGGTCTATCGATCCATCAATATATCTATCTGTCCATCTATCGACTATCTATGGACCTCACTTTCGGTCTATCGACTTTGACTGTCTATATATATATATATTGATATCAGTGTCTACCTGTCGATCTCATGATCTATTTATCAATATGACGGCCCATCGATCTGTCAACCTTACTATCTATATGCCGACCTTGTCGTCATACTACACAGCTACATGTGTATACATGTATATACATATGCGCACATGAAAGTTCATTCTCGATATATCGACACCACTATCAATCATCCTACTTTCAATCGGTCAATGAATCATCGGGGCAACCATCGGGACAAGCATGGGGGCACCAATCGGAACCACCATCGGGACAACCGTCGGGACAACCGTCGGGACACCCCTCGGGACAATCACGGGGCAGTCATCGAGACAACCAAGGGACAATCACGCGACAACCACGGGGCAATCGCTGAACAGCCCTGGCCTGAAATCCGCCAACCAGGGCAGGGGCTCTTGCTCTGCCTCGACTTCGCCCCAGCAGCGGCGGGATCATGTATCTCGCCCGCGCACGCAGCCTCGGCCCGCCCGCGCGCACGGCACGAGCACGACACCGCAGCCGATCTCCCGTTTGGGGAGGATCTCCGTGGCACGTCAATTCCTCCTCCGCCTCCTCCTCCTCCCCATCCTCCCCCTCCTCTCCCTCCTCCTCCCTCCAGCCTCTTCCTCCTCCTACTTCTCCTCCTCTTCCCGCCCCTCCTCCTCCGCCTCCTCCTTCTCCTCCCCCTCCTCTTTCTCCTTCTCCTCCTCCTCCTCCTCCTCCTCCTCCTCCTCCTCCTTATACTCCTCCTCCTTCTACTCCACCTCCTCCGACGATACAGCTGCGTTGGTGCTTCATCCATGCACCTTGGCCCCTCACGTGTCGCACACAATCCGTTCTGATACTGAGAGGGGAAGGTGGAGGAGTAAAGCTCCTCTTGTGTCTCCCTCCTCCCTACTTCCTCCTCGCGCGCGTGGGACCGTGAGCCCGAGCGGGGAGGATGGGGGCAGAGGGCGGAGCGAGGAAGAGCAGGAGGTAAGGTTTTGGTGGTGGCTGGCCCAAAAGGCGGATACCAACTCAGAAGGGCTCGCTATCCGAGGCTCCACATCCTTCGCCCGAGCCATCGGTGGCGGCACGCGGGAGCTCGGACTCCAGTACGCCGAATGAAGCCAGCACTCAAGCCCGACGAGGCAGACTAGGGGGAGGGGGGGATCTTCTTCCCCACCATGCATCAGAACGACTACATCGGCCTCAGCACATGGAGTGACTACTCTGTCTATCTTGACACGGTCCAGGAGACTCAGAGGCCCTGTGGAGCAGAGCAAGAGAGATTTCGTCAAAGGACGGTAGTGTGGGTGCTTGCCATTCCGATCTAATTTCATTTGAGAAAGGATCCGTCGTTGTCGTCGCCGTCGTCGTCGGCGGAGGGGTAGGACTGCATCGCCCTCAACGCCGGCGGCGCCAACGAGGCCGCGAGCGCGTACTACCTTCCGCTCGACCAGGCTCGGGCAGATTGCGTCGGCCTGGGGCAGGCTGGAAGAGGATTAGTGCCCCCAGATCTTGCCCACGAAAAAGAGGAGGCGGCGGAGGAGGAGGAGGAATACTACTAATGATTGCTCAAGAAGAGCAGTGCTGATAGTAGCCGTAGTAGTAGTAGTAGTAGTAGTAGTAGTAGTAGTAGTAGTAGTAGTAGTAGTAGTAGTAGTAGTAGTAGTAGTAGTAGTAGTAGTAGTGGTAGTAGTAGTAGTAGTAGTAGTAGTAGTAGTAGTAGTAGTAGTCGTAGTATAGTAGTAGTATTAATATTAGTAGTAGTAGCAGTGGTATTAGTAGTAGGAGTAGTAAAGTAGTAGCAGAAGTAGTTGAGTAGGAGAGTTAGTAGTAGTTAAGTAGTTAGTAGTAGTGTTCTAGTAGTGTAGAAATAGTAGTAGTTAGTAGTAGTAGTAGTCGTAGCCGTAGCCGTAGTAGTAGTAGTAGCAGTAGTAGTAGTAGTAGTAGTAGTAGTAGTAGTAGTAGTAGTAGTAGTAGTAGAAGCAATCGTAGTAGTAGTAGTCTTAGGAGTAGTCGTAGTGGTAGTAGTCGTAGGAGAAGCAGTCGTAGAAGTGGTAGTAGTAGTCGTAGTAGTAGTAGTAGTAGTAGTAGTAGTAGTAGTAGTAGTAGTAGTAGTAGTAGGTAGTAGTAGTAGTCGTAGTAGTAGTAGTAGTAGTAGTAGTAGTAGTAGTAGTAGTAGTAGTAGTAGGTAGTAGTAGTTAGTAGTAGTAGTAGTAGTAGTAGTAGTCGAGTATAGAGTAGTGAGTAGTTGTAGTTATTAGTAGTAGTAGTAGTAGTAGTAGTAGTAGCAGCTAGTAGTAGTGGAAGAAGTCGTCGTAGTAGTAGCAGTAAGTAGTAGTAGTAGTAGTAGAGTGGTAGTAGTGTAGTAGTTAGTTTAGTAGTAGTAGTAGTAGTAGTAGTAGTAGTAGTAGTAGTACTAGTAGCCTTAGAGTTAGTAGTAGTAGCAGTAGTAGTAGTAGTAGTTTAGGTCGTTAGTAGTTACTCGTAGTAGTAGTAGTCTAGTATGTAGTAAGTTGTAGTCGTAGTAGTAGTAGTAGTAGTAGTAGAGTAGTAGTCGTAGTGTAAGTAGTAGTAGTAGTAGTAGTAGCAGTCTTAGTAGTTGGTAGTAGTCGTATTATACTAGGAGTCGTAGTAGTAGGTAGTAGTAGTAGTAGAGTAGTAGTAGGAGTAGTAGTGATAGTAGTAGTCGTAAGTAGCAGTAGTAGTAGTAGTTGTAGTACTAGTAGTAGTAGTAGTAGTAGTAGTAGTAGTAGTAGTAGTAGTAGTAGTAGTAGTAGTAGTAGTAGTAGTAGTAGTAGTAGTAGTCGTAGTCGTATTGGTAGTAGTAGTAGTAGTAGTAGTAGTAGTCGTGGTAGTAGTAGAAATTGTAGTACGTGTAGTCGTCGTACTAGTAGTGGTAGTCACCGTAGTAGTAGTAGTAGTAGTAGTCGTAGTAGTAGTAGTAGTAGTAGTAGTAGTCGTAGTCGTAAAGGTAGTAGTCTTAGTAGTAGTAGGGGTAGTAGCAGCAGCAGCTGCAGTAGTAGTAGTAGTACACGTAGTCGTAGAAGTAGTAGTAGTAGTAGTAGTAGTAGTAGTAGTAGTAGTAAACGTCGTCGTAGAAGTAGTCGTGGTACTAGTAGTTGTGAGAATAGTCGTAGTGGTCGTCATAGTCGTTCTAATCTTAGTAGTAATAGTAGTAGTAGTAGTAGTAGTAGTAGTAGTAGTAGTAGTAGTAGTAGAAGCAGCAACAGTAGCAGTAGCAGTAGCAGTAGTAGTAGTCAGTATTAGTAGTAGTAGTCATTATCGTAGTCGTATAGTAAGAAGTAAATAGTTCGTAGTAAGTAGTAGTAGTAGTAGTAAGCAATAGTAGTAGTGTCGCAGTAGCAGTTGTTTCAAAGGTCGTAAGAAGCAGTGGTAGCGTACTTTTAGTAGTAGTAGTAGTAGTAGTAGTAGAGTAGTAGGTAAGTAGTGTAGTACTAGCAGAAAGCAGTAGTAGAACTAGTTAGTAGTGTAGTAGTCGTAGTAGTAGTAGTAGTAGTAGTAGTAGTAGTAGTAGTCGCAGCAGTAGTAGTAGTAGTAGTAGTAGTAGTAGTAGTAGTAGTTGTCGCGTAGTAGTTGTCGCTGGGCAGTAGTAGTATTCGTAGTAGTCGTATTCCTAGCAGTAGTAGTAGTAGTAGTAGTAGTAGTAGCAGCAGTAGTGGTAGTAGTCGTCGTAGATGTAGTAGTCGTAGTAGTAACTGCAGTAGTGGTAGTTTTCATCGTAGCAGTAATAGTAGTAGTGGTAGTCGTAATAGTCGTAGTATTAGTAGTAAGAGAGTAGTAGTGGCAGTACCTGTAGTTTTTGTAGTGTTCGTAGTTGCCGCAGTAGTCCTAGC